TTTTGGAGTACGTTTGGACAAACTTAAAAAATTGAAAAAATTACATTTAAGAAATTGACTTTAAAGTGCAACAAAAGCCAAATGTGATGGGCTGCATATGCAAATCAACTGGCTGTGTTAACAGTTGTTCTTGTTTGTTAAAAAAGGTTGGGATCTTATGGCAGCTACCACTTACAAAGTGTCCATGTATGGATATAATTTTGATATTAGCAAAGAATACCTTAACGCCAGCATCCGAACATAGTTTCACTGCATCTTTGACACCTGGACGGCAAGGATCCTGTGAAGTGATATTTGTTAAAACAAAAAAGAATATATAATAAAAGAAAATGAATTTGCAACGAATAGAAATGATGTCTAAGTTTTTTTCTGATTAACCTTAAAATAAATTGTGCATTGCAACAACATTTACAAATGGACACATAAAAGTTACATGATGCCTTGCAAATAAGAATTCATAGTACCCTTCAAAGTTCCCACCTTTATACCAACAATTGCAAGCAAAACAAGATCATCTTCCGGTAAAGTCCATTGTGCTAGCTGTTCATCATCGGTCGGAACCTTGTCTGTTTCATATGTTCTGTAAGCAATGGCAACACACCTTAAGCTTTTTGCAGCCATAGTTTCAATAGCATCTTTGAAAAAAACCTGTAATACCAAGTGTGAGTATCATCCAAAGTTTGGGAGAACTATTTTATCCGCACCTCTTATTTCCTTGTCTTGCAATTTTTTATTTTTTTTATTTTTTAAGTAAAGATCCGAGTTTCCTTATACTAAAAGTTTGCATCTTGTGCTAACCTTGTTATCCTCATCAATAGACTGCAAGCTACCATCTGCATCCATAAACTGTGAACATGAGGCTAAAATTACTTCGGCTGCTCCCTTCCAGTGTAGATGAACTTGAGAATCAGTCTGACATAAAATAATAAAGATATACTCAAAATCGATTTTTACACTAACTAGAGGGATGCAATAATACAGTCCATGTAATGCTTTGTTAAGTGACATCTTACATAGTACAAAAATTTAAGTTCTTTGAACCATGAGTTCCTATTGAAAGATCAAGAAACAAGGCTCAATAGATTATTTTGTGACATCAAATTGATTCTTGACAAAATTATTTAACACCCATTAATCAGACTAAAGATCTATACAAATATTCAGAGATAATCACACTTATAAAAAATCTTTGTTAAAATGACAAGGAGGAAAGTAGAACAAATCAGTTACCCATCCTCGTAATGCAACACCAGCTCGTTTCTTAGTGGAATTAAAAGGAGAAACATGGAGAATAATAGATTCGGATCTAACAGCATCAAAATTCATCCCCAGCTGCATAACAAAGTTAAAATCATACAGATAATCAATTTCAATAATAATGAAACTTGAAACCATAGTTCCTGGTATATAGAACCAGAATTACCTTGACACCCCAATGAAGAATAGCTTTTTCAGTGGGAGATCCAGAAACATCTATTCCTGCACCATCCTATAAACAAACATAAAGACACAATGAACATGCAATATGAATAACGGATAAATTTTATATTGAAGTCAAAAGGAGGAAACAGGCAAGAAGCCATCAGCAGCTCTAAAAGGAACATGATGCTAAACAATCAAAATGAATCATGCTGAAAGTACAACTCTGAGATCATGACCAAGAGTTGGTAATGTTTGCACTCAAATGTGAAGTGGAAATGAACATCCGACACTAAGTATCTATTACATGTCTAAGGGATAGATCATCAAGTGTTCTCACACTCTACTAACCATGACCACTAGTAGTATCATTCCCCTTCACAAAATTCCAATGGTGTAAAAGATGCTTTGACTGTTTGACAACTCGTATTGGATTCACTTTGTCCCCTTGCAACCAGAGGCGAACACTAGAAGGCATGCTCAGGGGAGAAAAAAGAGTACCTTAGATGGAAATACACTGCCTGCAGTATTCTGAGCTATTCCCTCATCTAGAAGAGAGGAAATTGCTGCATTCAATTGTGAGCCATCTTCAGGAGGATCAACTTGCTTACTCCCAATATAGGCCTCAACTACTGTCATCTGTATCAAGGTGTAGTTTTCCGAGATTAGTTACTCTTAAGTAAGAATGAAAAATAAAATAATTACAGGAATAAACGTCTATCGCCGTTCACCGTGACCAACATCCATCTTTATTTTTCATTCTTAACAGACTAAAGAGACTAAAAGTACTGAACGATGACCTGATTCAGGGTTAAAGTTCCAGTCTTATCGCTACAAATGGTTGTTGCGGATCCCATTGTTTCACAAGCTGAAAGCCTACGCACCTGAAGACCAGTAGCGGTTAACAGTATCACTGAGAAAAGCACAATATGTGGAAACTGCGTGTACGGATATAGTTTTGTAACATACAGATAGAAATTTGACGTATTCAACAAATTATGTACGTACCAAAGCCTTGTCAGCCATCATTTTCTTCATAGAGTACGCTAGGCTGTTGTTATTTTAAAGACAATGTCAATCAATGAACATTGAAGTGTCGAACAAGAAGGCAATAGGTGACCGACAACAAGCACATTTTATGATACTTACGTCAAGGTTACAGCCAGAGGAAGGCCTTCTGGGACTGCGACAACAACAATTGTGACCTATACAAAACTGCTGTCAGTAAGCAGAAAAGACATTATTTATGATTTCTAATACAGAATGCAACAACTCACTGCAGCAGTAATAATTTTTATGACTCCATCAATAGTTTGACCAATGTTAGTCTTCCCACGAACAAACTGAACAGATCCATCAGCATTTTTTGAATTCCCAGTGAAAAACCTAAGAAAATTTAATCTCATGGTGACTAAGAATGTGAACCGAGTAAGAAGCCAAAACCAAAATTGTTGAACTTACCTGGTCAAGAGAACGATGAGCACAGAAAGAGCCACGGTCAGTCCAACTATGCCAATGAAAGTGGCAACCCCATTCAGGCGTACCTACATTATGTCATCCGAAGCCACAAATAGTTATGATTCATTTTTAAGTAACTACTAATGATAAGAATCATCATTTCTTGATAATTACCTGCAAAGGTGTTTCTTCCCCTGTATCTTCTGAAATACTAGCCATTAACAATCCCCATTCAGTATTAATTCCCACACCAGTTACCTAACAATTGAATAGATACCTAATTAAGCCCCAAAAACCATAGTCTGCCCAATTTCATAATAAATTACAAATAAGGAATATAGGGATATGTTAGGCACTCGGCCAAAACGTTTATGCAAATTACAAACAACAAATTATTATTCCCCTAAAATTTGGTAGTATGAATCCTTCTTGCCACTCTAAATGGTTCGTTGCTATATCTACTAAAAGATCCAAAGCAAGTAGTTCATTAGCACCCATTACAAGTCATGTTAGTTTTGATCTACCATCTCTTTTAACCAGTTATATTGGCATGGTGTCATTTTTATAATTTTATAAATGGGAGGTTCAATGGATTCATGCAACACGTCCTGGCCACCTAAGTTGCCTTTCCCTTAGTGTATGCTCAATTGATATCACCTCTACTTCTTGACATACATTCTCATTTTTCCATCTTATCCATTCTAGTACGATTTTATATCCATCTTAAAATCCTCATTTTCACTACATTTCGTTCATGAACATCTTTTCGTTTAACAGCTCAACGCTCAGTGCAATAAAACCTAGCAGGTTTATTAACTGTTATACAGAATTGGCTCTTAAACTTATAGAAATCTTCGTCTGACTCAAGTCCTTCTCATCCAACTTGTTCTCATCCTATGTGTTTCATCCTCCGATATTTTTCCCACATTATTAAAATTTGTCATAAATACTTGAAACGATAACTCTTGGGGACATCATGATTCTTTGTAATGACACCATTATTATTATTACTTTTAGCATTAATAAATTGATATTGCATCTACTGTGTCTCGGTTTTACTTTAACATAAAAACATTTAAATTCCAAGGTACTTCTTCAAAGTTCTAACTTACAATTAACACTCTTTTTGTTACAATTCAAATTTCATAGTAAAAAATTCAAATATTGACTAGTCAAGGTCAAAGTTAATTAAGAACTTAAATGAAATAAATGATTTTATTGGGACTTGAATTGACTAAAATCTTTTATTGGGGTTTATTTTACAATTGGCAATATATGAGGGTAAAATTTGATACAATTTGAAGTTGAAAATTTACTTATATATTTTTGGAAAGTTTAGAATTTCAATGTTAGCTCATATTAGAGAAGAGGGACTTTTCTTGCAAATTGGAGTTAGTGGGATTTAAATGCCTTTGACCCATTTCTTTTTTCTCTAAAATCACACACACACACACAAGAAGCGAGAAAAATTACCGACAGAGAAGAAGAAGAAAACGGCAGAAAGAAAAAGGGAAAGAAAAAAGGGAAGAAAAAGGAGAAAAAGAAGAAGAGAAGAAAGGAAAGAGGTAGTTCAAGGTCTATTTCCATTTTTTCTTTCTCTATATTTTCTTCAAGAGGTAAAGCAATGATTTTATATTAAATTTCTAGGTTTTAACTTGTGGTATAAATTTCAGATTTAAGAGGACAAGGTTACAAATTGGAGCTCAAGTTTGTTGATTATTTAATCTCCAAATTCATCAAGGCAAGTAATACCATTATTGGCAAACCCTAGATTTTTATTTGGGATTCTTGATTATGTATTGTTAGTGGGAATGATCATATTGATGGAAAACTCACATGAAACCATGAATTTGAGAAACGAGATGAAAATTAAAATATGTGGAATTATGGTTACTAGTTTTCATTAGATGGGAAGGTATAATTAATTTTATGAGTGGTATGAAGGTAAATTTGGATGTAGTATATATTTGTGAAGGTATTAGAAAGTAGAATTAGCTCCATTTATTAAAGGAAAATTTGGAAAAATCGTTCAAGTATTGAGGAATCAAGTTTTGGAATTCAGTTATTAAATATTAAGAGCTATATAGTATGATAGTTGTTAAATTGTTTATTTTGTAACGTATTTCAGGTGGTGACGAAGAAATTGGAAAAGCTTACCGACTGGCCTAGTCTGTAGCACATATTGAGTGAGTGAATATAAAACTTATTTTTCAGAAATTGATTATTTATTAAATTTATGTTATATTAAAAATTTTATTATTTCATACAATTGATTTTCAAAGCATGATTTTTAGAATAAAGTGGATTTATAATTAGATATTTTTAAAGTTAAATTTAATTCAATTAAATCATTTGATTAGCATGTTATTTGAATATAACTGTTTCAGTATAGTTAAAGTTATTTTTAAAACCACCAGAAAGTACTTAGGTGATTTTACCCAGTCTGCACTAGTATGAACGTGTTTCCACAGTGTATGACTAGTTATGGTGATTTTATCCACTCTGCACTATTGTGAATGTGGTTCCATAGTGTATGACCAGATTATCAGAGGTTTTTGGGATTCACTCTCGTACACACATAGACTTTGGGCCGTGTACTAGGGTGATTAGCCTTTGGGGCAGCTCTGCGTACATATGACCACATTATCAGAATATCAGATTTGAATAGCTCTGCCTTGTACATCGAAATTACTTTGTACATGAGTAAGGCTATTGATTGGGTACCTCTTTGGTGTGATTTTTCAATGTTTCTATAGCTTATCAGATTTCAGATTATAGAATTTAGTCTATTCAGTTCTCAGATTAAAGCTTTCAGCTTATAGTATTGAGCAGCAGTTATATTTCACAGATTTTCACAGATGTCATATCATTTATATTCACTATATTTTACAGTTACTTATCTAGAATGAAGAACAAATAAATTTATGATATATTCATGTTTGATTTTAAAAGTGTTACCAGATTTCAGAATTTCTAGAAGTTTTAATCGTGCAAGAATTTTCAGAAAATATGCATAAATGGGAAAAGTTTACTTATTTGAAAATTATCCACTCACTGAGCTTTAAGCTCATATATTTTTTTACATTTTTCTTTATTAGACAGATAGCAGCCGAAATGAGCAGCTTGGAGCTTGTCGAACCACCAAATTGAGCCACGCGTCGGAGGTTGTATGACATCCACTATTAGTTTATATAGTATGCGTTCTTTTGGGATACATGTAGTTTAAATCAGAAAAAAATTAATTACGGGCTCATTAGATATTTGGTATTATTACATTTTAAGATTGTTGGTTGTAAAGCAAGTAAATATTGATTTGCTAGGATTTTATTTAAATAGTTTGTATTTTTAGGGACTGACGTACCATGATTTATATTATATGTATTGATTTGAGGAAATTGGTTATTGTTCAAGCGGTTTTAGTTCATATTTCAAGGGAAATTCTGTCAAAATTCTTTTAAAATTTCGTCACAGTCAAACAAGTTAAAATTGCCTTGGTGGTGGGTCCAACATTTAATTGGTATCTACCATCGACGTACGACACGTGTCCGGTCTATTAAGATGATTCGAGACGGGTCGTGTCACTTTTAGGCTCATAAAGCAAAAGATGGGGACTGAACCTTAATGCAAACTTAAGTGCCACTACACATCACGTTCGAGACTACTCCATCACATTTCCTTGATAATATTGCCATATGTTATCACTCTAGAACGCTCCTAACATTTTTCTTGGCATGTGCTATTTTTTCCTCTATACTTCTCCCCTCTTCCAAAGTTAAGAAACAGGAACATATAGCCTAATAGAAACAGCCTTTTGACCATCTTGTTGGTGTTCCCATTTTGTCTTGAAAGGAAAAAATCGATTTAAAAAATCACCCCAAGCTGACTCCTCCCCAAAGGAAGGGGAGAAAGCTGAAAGAACTGCTCAGTGATGTGCTCCAGGAAGCACTGGACTGCCTCAAATTTGATCGTCATCGCAACACAACTTCAAAGAAGTTTCTTAAGAGTTCAAAAATAAAGTTTCAAACAAGGACAAATTATCCAGAGAAAATTATCAAAAAAACCTTTCATTTATCTTTTGAAGATTTGTATCGTTTTCTCTACTTTATCAAGAAAGTTAAAATAGATATTTATAGTTACAAAAAATGGAGGGTTAGAAAAGGAAAGTAGAGAGAAAATGATAACAACAGATGTTAATTCCCTTACCGGTAACAAAGATAACAAGAAGTACAGCAAAGGTAATGCTTCCTCCATCATACCATCCTTCGTCCAGTCCCTGGTAAACAACACTACAGATATATCAGACTCTAAAAATCATAAAAGCTCGGCTTCCCGTCACAAGGAGAAGGAAGTACTTATCATGTGAGTACAATGTAGATAAAAAAAGCACTACAGGTCTCTCAACGTAAATCATATTTGGTTGCTTGAACTTTATAAATTGCATGGAATTGATTATCAGGGAATTAAAACCCAGCCCCTTTAAGATCTAAGAATAGCATTTTCAGAATGCATAGAAAGAGGCCTCGGAACAATGATTCATGTAATTCTGATGTCTATGCCATCATGGCATGGTAGAAAGATAGCACTTGTGTGGAATAAGGAAGGTCAATGTGATTTTCCTTAAGATGTTTGTATAAGGAATTATATGATATGCTTAAACTATATCTTAATAAAGAAAATCCATTTGTTAAAAATTGAACATACTACAGCATCCCAAACTCACCTCCGCTTTTATGCCAAGAGCCAACGATGCCGCAGCGGCTATTATTAAGATAATGAGGGTTAAATCTTGCCAAGCCTCCCAAAGAAACCTCTAAATTAAATCATGCATGAATAGAAGTTATTATAAAAAATAAAAAAAAATAAAAAAAAAGAGAGAGAGAGAAAATGTTAAAACATTAATTCAATGTAAAAAATGTAATAATATGAGAATCACCCTCAAAGCAAACTACAAAGTACATACCAAGAAACTTCGTCCTTTCTTTGTAGGATATGTATTTGAACCAAAGGCACTCTGTCTTTCTGGTAATTCATCATCACCAGCAATTCCAGTTTCTATGTTTGTTTTTAGCATCTTCGATAACCCTTTAACCTGAAGAAAATGGCATAGTAAGCATATATTTGTACACAGGCATGACTAATTGACAAAAAAATAAAAATAAAAAATAAAAAGAGAGAAGAAAAGAAAAAAAGAAAGAGCAATTAGAATTGACTTGCCCCTCCATATTGTTGTAGTGCAGAACTATTGTGGTCTCTGCTCATTGAAGCAAGTTCTTCGTGACCAATTCCATAATCCCCATTAGGAGTTGGAGGAGATACCGCAGTACCCAATACTAAATGAGCAAAAAATAAGCCAAGGTTGTTGAAGAAAAAGGATACTGATTAAACAAAAATCTATAGATAAACTACACACTTTTAAATAAAATCTTCTCAATAAACTATATTATTCCAAGAACTAAATGAAAATTAGTCGAGCAGATACCGATTGCTCGCTGTCCAGCCAATTTGAAGAGCAATGCAGCCTACAACAAGAAATTCCAAAATTAATATTCGAGTCTGAAGAAAAATTGAGACCAAGTGAATAATGTGTTATAGTATTACCCGGATGACTTGAGCATGTGCTCTTATCATGCTTCGTCGTTGTTCTTGTTCATCATCTTTTTTCAAATCCAATGTGTACCGAAACCGGCGGGAAGCATTAAGAACAAGTGCAGCTTGCTGTAAATGATCAAGAATTTGATGACGAAACAAATTATAATTAGTCCTTAACTAATCTACCATAGTAGAACTAGAAAATAGAGTCAACGGTTAACTTCACAAAACCTTTTTGTTTTATTTGATGACGAAAGATCAACAAAAACGGAAGACAAATGTGAAGGAAGCTAGATACAAAGATAAATAAGAAGGAAGTATCACAATAAGAATATTTTCCATTTGATTATAATGGAATTCTCTTCTGACATATGGATGGAATTTCAACATAACAAAATTATTGAATTCATTGTGTGGAAATGGGAATGAGATATGTTCTAATACATTAATATCTTTAACTTACCCTCCAACGCTTGAGCGATTCATGTGACGCATTTTTGGTATTGCCAATGTCGAAAGGATCGGAGAATTCTTCTTCATCGGCTGCCAAGCCTTTCGCACTGGCGGAAGAAGCATCAATGTCGATGATGCCAGCCTCCAGGTCATGCTGTGGTTCGGCAGCGGTGGGCGGCGGAGAGTCATTTCCAGTCTTCATATCGTCGGCGGAGTCCTGTAGAACACAGCAGGAAGAGAGATGGCACCGCTGCTTCAGCGTGGCCACCACTCAACTAAAAAAGATGAGGAGAAAATTATTGGCTCCAATTTGACAAATGAATTGAAAATCAATCAAATCAACAGCCCATGCAGAAAATGGACATCCAGAAAATTCATGGTACATTTGTTCTTGATTGTGTTTATGCTGATTACTATTTTTACGTTAACTGAAACTAGAGGCATTCCGATTTGTTCGCCATAGCGTTTGATTATTGTGAAATGGGAATCCATTGCATTTACCATTGGATTATAAATTGGGATTTGGGCAAGCGGTGAATGAGAACTGAGGAAATACACAAAAATGACCCACCCACTATAGCAAAAATTGCTTTTGATCAATTAAATGAATTAAAAAAAAACAAATTAAGTTAAAAAGAAAACTTCACAGTATTTTTCCATTTTACTTTCAGACTGTTTGTTAATTTTATTTTTTTTTATAATTTTTGTAATTAATTAAATTTTTTATTTGATTAAATAGTAATTATATTATTTACTTATTTAATTTTTTTTATCATTGTCAATATAATATAATAATTGAAATATTGTAAAATTAACAATGTTGATTATTTTCTTTATGAAATTATCTTTAATTTTTTTTTTAAAATTTTTTTATGAAATTATCTTTAATTTTTTATTTCAAATTTATTTAATTTTTATATTTGTTTTTTTATATAATTTAATAATTCAAATATTGTAAATTTAACAATGTTGATTCTATTTTTTTATGAAATTATCTTTAATTTATTTTTTTTAATTTATTTAAATAATATCTATAGTCTAAATTTTAAAAAAAGGTAAAGTAATTATTTATTTAATTTTTATATTTGTCTTTTCTATAATTTAATAATTCAAATATTGTAAATTTAACAATGTTGATTCTATTTTTTTTTATGAAATTATCTTTAATTTATTTTTTTAAATTTATTTAAATAATATGAATAGTCTAAATTTTAAAAAAAGGTAAAGTAATTATTTATTTAAATTTTATATTTGTCTTTTATATAAGAAAATGTATTTAATTTGAAATTTTTTGTTTGTAAATATATTTTCCAAATAATAATTATTTTATTTAATTATTTAATTTTTATAATTTCCTTTTTTATATAATTTAATAATTGAATATATAATATTGTTCGAAATTAACAATTTGTTTTGTTCCTTTTATTGTTTTTTTATGAAAATCTTTGATATTTTTTTCAATTTATTTAAATAATATTTATATTCTTTAATTTTTTTGACATACATTTAATTTGATTTGTTGTTTTTTGTAAATATATTTTTCAAATGTAATATTTGTGATTGTATGGTAGTTAGAGTTCGATTTTCTTGATTTTGTGAGAGTATGCTTTATTTTGTTATCTCTTGTTCAATACTATAATATTTGAATTTTTGCAGGATGGAGTATCATTTAGATGCAGAGTTAAGACGGATGTTGGGGAAAGCTACTTGGGACAGTAGCTTTGAGAGTTTTACTGCTGTATTGGAGCTGCTCGATGATCAGCACGGAGATATTCTACGACAGTCCTTCTTGTGGCCACTGTACCAGTTGCGAGAGGTGCAGTATTCAGGACAGATCATTGATGCACTTCTATGTCGGCTTCTGAGACCAGTCGACGGCGATTCCCTCCAGTTCGACCTCGGGGGCAAGGTCGTCAGTTTTTCGATGTTTGAGTTTACATTGATTACTGGACTGAAGATTACGGGCGACGATGCAGCCATGAAGAGAAGCAGTAGGCTGTACGAGACGTACTTCCAGGGACATGGGTCGGTGCTTCTACCCGACTTGATGGTCGCGATCAGGGGGTGCGACCATATGCTAGATAGATTGAAATTTGGGCTGGTCTACATCCTCGAGAGTGTGATGAGGTGTCATCACGAGAAGACTGCCATCGACATTTTTCATCTGCAAGTTGTTGACGACATCGATGCGTTCAACAACTATCCGTGGGGCCGAAGATGCTACGAAGACACCGTAAATGTGTTCACCAGATCGCACTCGAGGCCCAGGGGGTCGATGCGTAAATACGATACATATGGATTGCCGTTAGCAGTGCAGGTAAATGTTTAATATAATCAAAGTTAAAGTTTTAGTGTATTACATTGATGCTTAATAAGTGTATGTGTTACAGATTTGGGTGTATGAGACAGTTCCTGTACTGGGGGCTCGCTTTGCACAGCGAGGGGAGACACGCTGCCCTCGGATGCATCATTGGAGATCATCGCGAGCGGAGGGATGTCCCACCGGGAAGCAGTTATCGACCCTCATCGACGATCCTCAGGTAAGTATTATGCATTTGTGATTTATATTATACGTAGTTTAAAATTTTGTTTACATGATCGTTAAATAGTTGAAATGTCAATATGTCAGTTTAAAGTCATACCTGAGTTGATGCCATCGATGGAAGAGGAGGCTCGGGGTCTTGTGCGGGATTTAGGCGTTCCGCACACCCCAGACGAGGAGATGCCTGATCCGAGTTTGGACTGAGATTGGGTATGTGAATGAAATATAATTTATTGAATATGATCGACGTATAAATTTATTGAATAATTTATTGAATAATTTTTCATTTTATTTATGTAGGAGGGCGGTCCAGCTGATCGATGATCACCTCCGCCGGGGCCATCGCCGCCACCATTGGCATCATCTCCGCCGAGAGTATCGTCCCCGCCATTGGCATCACCTCCGTCGAGGGCATCACCGCCGCTAGTGGCATCACCTCTGCCAGGGCCATCGCCGCCGCCATTGGCATCACCTCCGTCCAGACACTTCCACCATGTGTCTCCGGGGCACAGTGATGATTTGTATGCCCGTTTGATTGGATTTATAGCGGAGGAGGTCGGCGCACTACGACGAGATTTGACGGAGAGGGTCGATGATCTGGGACGAGAGTTGACAGGGAGGGTCGACGATCTGGCAGGGAAGGTTGACTATATGACAGGGAGGGTCGACGATATGGGACGAGAGTTGACAGGGAGGGTTGACGATCTATCCCATGATGTTGGAATACTACAGTCTTCCGTTGTCGACCTTCAGGATACAGTAGCGGCGCTTAGGGGAGATTTAGCCGGCAGACGATGGGGGGACAGAGGGGATGGCGGAGACCATGATCGAGAGGGTGGCAGAGATGGTGATGGAGAGGGGGATCACCCACATTTTTGACGTGATGAGACATTGGAGTCCTTGTGGTTGTCTATAGAGGGGGTGGCTCCAATTGGGATGGAAGAGGGGACTACGGAGGGGGTGGCCCCGACGGGAGGGGCGGAGGAGGTGGCGACGGAGGGGGAGGCCCCGACGGGAGGGGCAGAGGTGGTGGTGACGGAGGGGGAGGGGGAGGAGGAGGTGGCCCCGGAGGTCGAGAGGACGCCCGGCGTGATTGAGGGTAAGAGACATGCTGTTGATGAGACGGAGCAGGTGGTCGGCAAGAGATTGAGAGTACCGTCACAGTATGTTGTTTCCCCCTTCACGGCTGAGGCCAAGAGGAGGACGTTTATCGATGGGACGTACCCGAACTTATTCAGAGAGGTGGACAATGCCAAGTGGAAAGCGTTCGAGACAGAGTGGAGGAGAATTATCCCCGGGTTAGTATTGTATGATTTTAATAAAGCACTGTACGCTAACTCGTCTACGCTTATTTTAATATTTCCCTGTTTTTTACAGAGCTAGCCGCACGATAAGACAAAGGACTATCTCGGACCCTTACAAGTGGTTCCACGATATCACCACTGCGGGAGCTTGGCTCGCCGACGATGTAAGTGAACTATTCATTTCGTGTTTTTTATGTATATGTGACCTTGTGTTTATTAAATGAATAACTCATACTTTTTCGGTGTTTCCTGCTGCAGCACATCGACTTGGCCATGGACTTGCTGCGAGATCGAGCTCAAAGACATCCAAAATCATTTAATGTCCATGGTCGAGTCATATTAAACACCGAGTTCCTGGGTGCCGTTACCATAGAGTATCAGTCGCTCGCACATATGGGTAACGAGTACATGGTGCCAGAATATACGCTCGAGTGGCTGATAGGACTGTCACTAAGTGTCGGGGAAAATCATGGGAGGGTTGTACACATATGTACATTCCAGCGTGCATCAATAAACATTATGTTACGCTAGAGATCGTTTTTGCTGACTCGACTATATATGTGTACGACCCAGATCATTCATGTTTGATACAAGGCCAATTGGAGCAAAATCTGGAGTCCATGGCTATCATTGTTCCTATGATGGCCAGACGAGCGGGGATAAATGTACATGACAGATTGCGGATCGTTCGGAACACGACTACAGCGCGACAGTCCGTAAGGTAAGTGTTTGAACGTTGTTGTTTTCATCTTTCAGATTTAGTTTTTATTTACACAGTACTAAACTGATTCATTCTTGTTCAATTGCAGCGGCGACTGTGGCATATTTGTCATTAAGTACGTTGAATTTTTAAGTATAGGACATAAGGTTGATGAAATCAACCAGTCGTGGATACAGAACTGGAGAAAGAAGCTAGCATGTGATTTGTTCGAATTTAATGCTGACCCATAAATTTCAGTTATACATATGTAACATTTCAATTGTAAATTTAATTATTTTTGTAATTATGAAATAATTGTAAATTTTTGTTCAATGTATATAACATTCAAATTGGAAATTTCATTATTTTTTGTTATTTTGAAATAATTGTAAATTTGTGTTCAATGTATATAACATTCAAATTGGAAATTTCATTATTTTTTGTTATTTTGAAATAATTGTAAATTTGTGTTCAATGTATATAACATTCAAATTGGAAATTTCATTATTTTTTGTTATTTTGAAATAATTGTAAATTTGTGTTCAATGTATATAACATTCAAATTGAAAATTTCATTATTTTGGTAATTTTGAAATAATTGTAAATTTGTGTTCAATGTAATATAACATTCAAATTGGAAATTTAATTATTTTTTGTTATTTTACCCGTATGCCGAGTGCGGAACTATTTTTTGCATATTAAAGATTTATAAATAACAAATATTGAACAGTGTATAGTAAAAGGAAATATTATTCATTTCACGTACCTGTCTAGTCGTCATTTAAGGGAATTTGACTGGTACAAAATTGTCGAGTATGCCCTACGGCTTTGCACCGACCACACCTACGCGGTCGAGGAAACTCTCCGGTAGATGGTATTCTAGATGTACTTGGACGTCCAGGACCACGCGATTCAACTGCTGGTGGTAACAAATTATGAAATGGGAGAATGTGTTCGGGAACTTCCCACTCGGCTTCATTCAGTAGAGGAAATATAGTCTCAGCATATGCTGTTCTCCAAGACTCAGTCGTATAATACAAAGAGCACAACGTTCTCACAGCAAAGCCTCGATACATGGCCACCGCAACAGCATGCTCACATGGAAAACTCTCTAACTGAAATCTCGTACAAGTGCACGTGTTATCAGTCAAGTCCACCATATATGCCGTATTACGTGCACATTGCACGGAGAAGCGAAACTCATCTAGTGCTTCCACATTCAACTTCCTCGCACCTCTGTCGCCTTAAACAGTTTCTCCTCTTGAGCTGGAGCCAGCACGCTAGTGCAACTCTCTGATGCCGCACGTCGGTCATGAAACCACTGTTGTAGCTTGTTACAAATGTTCTCAATCATTGCGAGAATTGGTAACTCTCGATCCTTCTTAAACAATGCATTGAGAGACTCCGCGTTATTCGACGTCATTATGTTGTATCGACGTCCTGAAAAGTATGCCCGCGCCCAATGTTCGATCCCCATCTTCGTCAGATACTCCAACGCCGGTAATGATTTACTTCCTATCTCGAGCATGAACTTATTACACTCTTCAGCACTGTAAGCTTCGGCTGCTCTCCTGAATAATGAAACGATGCCTGTGCCCCGATACCTAGTCTTCAAATTACCTTGTATATGATACATGCAATACCCGTGATGTGCCTCGGGAAATACTTCAGCGATACCGTTTATTATAGACTATCCTCGATCGGTTACAAAGGCAAGGTCTTCGACTTCCCCAATCACTTCCCTCAGTTTAGAAAAGAACTAACGCATAGACAGATCATTCTCGCTGTCGACTATGTCGAATGCAATAGGGTAAATTTGGATGTTGGCATCTTGACATGTAGCAATAATTAATTTACCTTGATATTTAGCTTCCAGAGTCGTACCATCAACTAGAATTACGGGTCGCATTGCATTTCGAAAACCCCGAATACATTGTTCAAGAGCCATGAAGAAATACTTAAAACAATTATCACCCCCCATCTCAATAAAAAATGCCGTGTCAGGATTAGTTGTCCCCATGTTATGGCAATACCTAGCCAATTTAGCATAGCTCTCTTCAGCCGATCCCATTAAATCCTCCAACGCACATTCTTTGGCCTTCCACGCTTTCTGATAGCTCATGATCACTCCGTACTCTCGACGGACGTCGTTAATGATGTCTGAAGGTCTGTAGATCGTCCGTGGATCCTGATACTTGTGCATTATCTGTCGACCAATAAACCATGCTCGAGCTTGCCTGTGATCGTTTCGAAGAATTCCCAGTTCGCAAGTATGTTCCCGTAAATACTTGCGAATTACGAAGCACTCATTCGTGTCCATCTTAGTTGCTCTTAAGCGCCAATTGCAACTGTCTTCGACGCAAGCAACTGTCAACAATGACTTGTTTGATTTCTTTACCTTGAACTTAAAGTTATATTTTAATGCCAGCCGGTGCACAGCTTCCTGCAAATCTTTCTTGGTTTCAAACAGTTGCCTGACCTGCAAGTCGTCATCATCGGGAGCCACACGTGAAGAATTCGAGGACGGTCCACTTGTTCCAACCTGTGAGCTCCCACCAGGCTCGTGTCTCTGTCGGGATAAAGCAATCAAATTCTCATTTGTAAAGTCGTTTATGTTCTCATTGTCTTCAACTGTTGACGGAATTCTGCGCGTAACAGCGACATTACGATCAGAAGCAACTGTCTCAGGAATACTCACATCATCCGCAGGAACTATCTCCACTGTCTCCCAAAAACCTCGATCATTGTTATCCGCCCTATCCGAATCTTCACGTTCACTTTCGATAACATCCTTCGTAATTAAAGTCACACCAAGAACAGTTGGAGTCCGATGCATTTTATTCAATTCTAATAGATAATTCAATTCAGCATCATTAGTAACAAATACCGGTGGCATCGGAATGGATGAATCCCCATAACCGTTGAATAGATATCTCAAATGCGTATCGTATTGAGATTGATCGACTTTCAGCTTATTTTGCAAATCGTGGTACATTTCTAAATATGGTGTACTCTCTGTTACGGGAATTGCAATACAACCACGTATGTCACTCGTCTATCTCCATTCCCACCGATTATTTTCATTTAATTCGAAATCACCGAAATAACACACGGGGATTATCATATCTGCATGAGAAAATGATTTTAATCAACTTCAAATATTAATTATAAGAAAGAAAAAGGCAAAAAATCAGCTGCAGCGAAGGCTGTTTAATAGCCTAACAGCCGGCCGTTCGGCTTTTAAACAGCCGGCTGTTGGATATTTAACAGCCGACTGTTTTCCGGCTGTTTCAGACTATTTCCGACTGTTTGTTAAGCTAAACCAGTTTGGCGTAGGAGAATACCGTTCTAAAAACGAAATTAAGCATGCGTAATTTAAACGTAAGTTATACATCCGTTTAATTTTTTTTTGATAGGTTCTGTTAAAAAAAAATCTATGTCGATATAAAATTTCTCTATTTAACGTATACTAATTTACTTAAAACGAAATTAAACATGATTAAATGTACTTACCGATTTGAAGTAATTGATGTGAAAAAAATTTCAGCTTCAACGTTCCAAAGTTCTTCTAAATTTTGAGGTTCAAGCAGATGAAAAGATGATAGTTTTTTCTGTGTTGGAAGCTCGTTTTGAAGTTTTTATAAGTTGGGAAATGTTTGGTTTTCAATTATTAAGTAAAAGGGTAGTATAGTCCTTTCAACAATATATGGTTTTGTAATTGTACAAAACATTTAAGGGTATCTTTGTTTTTTACCATACAAGAGGCCAATATCATAATATTCATTATTTTGGAAGTCAAACTGAAATTTTGCTCCTTTGATCGGGTCAAAATTAAAAGTACCCCATGAGAACTATACAGTGAATTGAAGAGTACGAAATTTCCACAAACCTTGTTCCCGCCCTGAACGGGATGGCAGGGCGGGGCAGGGCGAGGCCACCCCGTCGGGCATGGGGCATGGTGGGACGACGATGTCCCGCCTTGAACCCGTCCCGTGAAGGAAAAAATTAAAAATAATTTTATTTTTAGACAATTCATCCATTAAATTTGCATTTTATTTTCTAATAATGACATAGCTCGAAATTTTAATAATATAAAAAAAAATTAAACGAGACAACAAACAAGTCAAAAGGTTACCCCGCGCCCCATCCCATTGCCATACCTAGCTGAATTGATATCAGAATTAATCTGCATGATGGTCTCCCTGGATGGCCAAGGCACATGTTACCCTGGTCAGAAAGCTTATTATGACCTCGTACTTGATGTGACATGATAGACATTGTGCATGCATGTCTCGTGTACATCTAGTCATGTTGAGTGAGACACTTTTGTCCAACTTGGCCTAACTAGATGTTGGAAATTGGTTTGTTTTTTTTTTTTTTTTTTTAACGAGGTGTCCCAGCTTGCGTCAGACTATATCCTCGTCGCTAAACCTCCGGCCCCTCAGCAGCTCAGAGAGGTAAATCGCGGGATGTGCCCTTGTTGGTTCCCAGGTTCCCACACGGCTTTTACTCCTTTCCCAAAGGGAGCCTTCCTCCATAGTGATTAATCCACCAATAATTCCTCCTTTATTGGATCAAAGGTTCCCACCAGAAATTGAACTCCCTACGCTTGGTTCCAGAGCCCCCCAATGTGATTGTTCCGCCAACTTAGATGTGCCCCGGGGGGCTGGAAATTGGTTTTTAAATATATGAAAATTGATTATAAGCATAAAATTATGAAAATTGACTTTTCGTGTCAATTTCGGCTAAATATTTGAACTGGATTCGATAGTCAAATTATGAAAATAAATAGACTAATTTGTTTCCATTCGTTGAGTAGATGATTGTTGTATATTTAGAATCTCGAAATTAATTCAAAATAAATAAGAAATTGCAGTCCAAAGTTAAAAAAAAACGAATAGAAAATGCCAAAATTTAGCTAAGGCCGTCGCTCAAGCGATATGCTAACGCCAAGCGAGCTATATCGGTTCTGCTGAAAAGGTGTCATTGGTGCTCAAGCGGAGCACCAGAGCCAGGTTAGTGACATCGAGGGGTGCGTCCTTTCTTGAAAGTTATTGAGTTTTAGGGCGTGCATCTTCATTCACAACCACTTCTCTTCTGTAAATGGGACCCTTTGGAACTCATTTAAGCATTCCAATTCATATTCTTGAGTCTTGCATCAAAAATTCTTGCCAAAACTCTCTCAAACTTTGCATCCAAATCATTCTTTGTAAAGAGAAAAATTTCGTTGAATTCATTATTGCCTTGTTGTTTTGAAGTACATCTACTATAAGGAAGTAATATGTTGTAACTTGGGAAATAGTTTTGGTTACTCCGT